TTGAGATATTAGTAAAGCTATTTCTTCCGTCCACCAAAAGTTTGATGCACACCCATTACATCGCAGATGTTGCTTTCATAAGATGATTTGCTTTTTCAGAAGCATCCCCAACTCCGAAACTCATGTTTTCGGTCATGAATTCCATTACCTCATTGTCGAGATACTTAGTTTTCCAATCTATTTGCTGTGCTTTTCTCTGCGATTTTTTTAAGCAAACTTCCCTTTCAACGATATGGAAAAGCAAATGGGATTGTTGTGGGTGTACTGGTTTGTTACTTTCCATTACGAACATCTTAGTAATGACGGGCTGACGAAGGTGAGGTCTATGTAGGATACGCCTCTACCATTATCGAATGTTGGGCTATGCCCATTGTTCAGTTGTGTTAGGTTTAGTGAGGTGAATGTCTCCAGTAGGGCTCTACCTCGACGAGTTGTATTAGTACAGCCCCATTCGACTGCCCAAGCATTGAAATCCCCTGCAACAATGATGGGAGTTTTATTTCTGACTGTTCCTGATAGCTTATCGAGAAACTCTTCAAATTTCTCTTGGATGATATTTGGAGATATGTAGCAGCTGCACATATATAACACCTCGGATTCTAGCAAGCGCTTGGTTCAAATATTATGTCCTGTCCTTGCCAAATGGCTGTCTTTGCAGAAGTATCTTGTACCCATCTAGAGCTTTCTTCTAATTTGTAAAATGTACTAACTACGAGTATATCCGCTTTTAATTCCATTATCGCTTTTGCATTGTCTAGCAGCATGTCTAAATTGAAGGCATTTAAAGCACCTCATGGGTGTGATATGCTTTCTGACTCTACTGCGCACCTACTCCACTCTGATTGAGGCAGTTGTGATCAGTAGATTGGCATCCTTAGTAGGGAGATCGATAATTGCTGTTCGTATATTGTCCCTTGCGGAACGCCAAAACTTGACTTTAATGGCGCTTACGTTTATTGCTGGAAATTGGTCAGCAATCGCTGCTCACACCTCTTCGTTGGACATTACCTCGTCCAGATCCCTGCATTCTATTAGGGTGTGTTGTGTTAAGGATTTTACACTAGCATAATCCTGAAGTGTGTTCTTCATTTCAGTGCATAAGTCCTTAGCTAAAGTTCCAGCATCTTTGGTAAGCCTCTTTTCTGTTTTCGGATTCAGTTCACATTTTTTCCGAATTCTTGAAGCTCTGGTTTTGATTTAATGAGTTTAATATTTCAATGCAAGACTTGTCTGCCGTCTTGCTAATAGGAATAGCTTCCGGCCTCACTCTTTTCGCTTAAACGAGGTCCAGTTTTATCACAGTTTTCTCCTTTTTTTCCACTAGTTGCCATTTGTTGCATGTTTCTTGCTTCCAATTTCTCTAATCTGAACTTTGGGTGGTGGACCGTTCGGTTTATCATTTGCAGAACGCTTTTGTGCTCTCTGAGTGTGCACGTCAATGGAAGTCACACTCTTAGCCGCTAACGGCACTAGTAACCTCATTTCTTGTTCCGTCTTATACATTTTAACACCATTTTAACACATTTTAACAACACTACGGGAGTCTTTGAAATTCCGTCATCGCAGATAGTTGTAATAGCTTACCTTCAACGCTATCATCTGGCTTGGGCGATAAAGGAATATTTATTACCTCCTTCTCCATTATTTTTTGAGATGCGTTTTGTTTCCGCATAGGTGATGTTCTTTGCCCACTCATACCTTATTGATACCCTTTTGCATTATTTAGAAAATTAAAAGAATTAAGTACCTGTAAATTTCAAATGTTCAAAATTCAGAATTTATGTTCAACATTAAAATTTTGCTAGTAAATTTAAAATTTGTTAAATAAATTTAAAATTTTGCTAATTAAAGGGTACAACATTACACAATTGCACAAACGTTTGTGTAACAATTGATCGAATTATTTGATCGTTTTGTAATACTTATTCACTTTGTAATATTTCTGTGTTAATAATTTTAATTGCTGTCTCTATCAGCTGATTTGTATGTGTGCAATTATTTTGCAAAAAAAGAGCACCAAAACACACAAAAATTCAATAAAATAAAAAACGATATATGAAAATTCAAAAATTAAAGAATTTAAAAAGAAATTTATGAAAAAATAATACTTATCGGCTACAGTTTTTCATCGCTCCAAGTGATTATATTATATTCCACCACATTTAAGAACTTTCTGTCGTACATACAGTTCAATTACAAGAATTATATACTGAACCAGCGGACCGCACTCGAAACGGGTGTATTCATGGCAAAAAAGAACCTGACTCCAAATGAGTTGGTTTTGATGTGTTGTGCAATGTTGTGTCTAAGATTGAATGAAGTATAAGCGTACCGCGGCTTTTAACATGGGAGTGAAGTATATACAAGCGTACCGAGGCTTTTAACATCAGAGTGAAATAAATACAAGCGTACCGAGGCTTTTAACATCGAAGTGAAGTAAATACAAACGTACCGAGGCTTTTAAACATCGGAGTGAAGTAAATACAAGCGTACCGAGGCATTTAAACATCGGATTGAAATAAATACAAGCGTACCGAGGCTTTTAACATCGAAGTAAAGTGAATACAAACGTACCATCAGAGTGAAACAAGCAGAAGCGTACCGAGGCTTTTAACAAACACAATCAAATACAAATAGAGGACATCATGGAGAACAAAGAGATAGACCAAGCTATCCAACAACAAAAGCAAATTGAAGGTGAGATCCAGAGGATCTGGATAAATTTTAAAAAGGATTCTACCACAAGATACTGAAGGCAGTATTTTGAGACGCGTTTGGAAAATTTGCGTCAGAAATGAGACGCATTTGAAGACAATAATGATAATCTGATTAAAAATTTGAAGCCTGATGATGAATATATCACAAAAAATTACTTTGGGCAGTTACAACAAAGACGGAATAAAATCGAGAATCGAATTAATAATGAATTGAAAATACTAAGGCAAAGAGAGCAAGAGGAAGCTCGGTCATCAAGGAATCAAGACATAAGTATCAATGACGAAGTCACCATCACCGAGCCATGTGATATTACGAACAAACGTTTAGCAATCTTAAGCACAAGTCTGTTGCAGATCAAAGAGACAATAGACTTAACGAAAAGTATTGAAATGTTACAGTTTAAGTTTGAAAAACTAAAGAACAGAGTTAGAGAATTGGAGGTAACTCGTGACACGAATCGCAAAAATAATAATAATTTTCGACCAACAGCTGTAAATACAAAAACTCATATAACTACAATACATACGCTATGTTTGGTGTCTAATGGTAACCATCAATTAATTCGATGTGCAAAGTTTCTAAATATGAAGGTGCCGGAACGTCGTGAAAAGATTATGAGCGCCAAATTATGTTTTAATTGCCTTCAGAGTGGGCATTTTAGTAAGTTGTGCTTGAATGAAAAAAAATGTGCAATTTGCACAAAAAAAAACAATCAACTTATGCATGAACAAGTTAAAGGCAAACCAACATTAACAAATAACTTAAATAAACAGAGGATGCCAACATTGAAGAACAATACGAGAACCGAAGTAGCAGCATCGTACAACATTCAAATGGAAAAAACTGTTTTACTAGCAACACCAATGGTAATTATAAGGACTAAAAACAACTTAATCCGATACGCGTGCTTCTTGATCAAGGATCATAATCTTGTATAATAACAGATCAATTAGCATGATCAATCAGAACACCATTGATCAATTATCAAACTCATGTAAAAGGTATCGATGGACAAACAACAAGCGTTATAGCCCAATGCTCATTAGAAATTCAATCTATACATGATAAGAATAAGAACTGTCATATCGAATCAATAGTGTTACCAAAAATCACATCAAAAATGCCGAATGCAGAAT